TAGGTAGCCACCTTCAGCAGAGAAAAACAAAGTGGAATATAAAGAAAGTAATGACAAGCTAGCAGCACCGTCTGACTTACTGGCAGAGCTGAGATCAGCAGACACCTGAACACTGTGTCCTCTAATTGAACTGGGAATTTCTAGTTAAGAACAAGCCACCTGGAAGTATGGTTACCTGACAAGCTCCCAATTATCCTACGGAGTCGCCATTCCACAAAGCAGTTGATGAATACAACCCAGCTTGATCAAACTCACCCTTTTCAACATTCTCACCCATCTCCCAGCCCACCCCTCCCCTTATTTTTCTTAAATTTTGTAGGATAGACATTGAAATTTTACTACTTCTTCTCACCCTCACCCCCGCCATCTCACCTTCTCTTCATTCATCTACTCCCTCTTCCCTTAACCCCAAACCGTTCAAATATCCCTTGCTTGGTGTTTATTTTGTTGCACTATGATTTTTGCTTTTCTAAGAAATTACACTGTTTGAGCTATGCCTTAACGCTCCCCTATTTTAATTAATAAGGATCAAGAAAATATGGTATACACAATGGAATTTTACTCATGCATTAGAAAGAATGACATTGTATCATTTTGCAAAGAAATAGAAGGGCCTGAAAAAGTACATTAAATAAGTTAGGCTCTGGGAGATGGAGGTTGCAACATTGTCTTTCCTATGTGGAAGCTAGAATTGGTTTACAAATTATCCTATTTTGATATGATCATTTAAACAAGGAGACAAGAGGTTTGGGTTGGCCTTGAGAGAGAAGATAGACTTTTTTATTGTGAAAATACTGTACAGAGGGGTTACAATTACATGAGCAAGGTAATGAGTACATTTCTTATCAAGCATTGTTGCCTCCTCCTTTGTTTCCCCTTCCCATTCCTTCCCATCCCCCGCCCCTCAGCCTGCCCCCCCAAAGTTGTAAAGTTCGTTTTTCGACATAAGGTCTTGTATATCTCATTGTTACAATGGGTCCACCTGTATCCCTATTTAAATAATTTGTTTTTTCCTTTCCCCTCCCCAAATTATACCAACATCAAATACAGTGAAAACAGGGGTTATGCTGTGGGGGAGGGACATACAAAGCAAAAAGGAAATCATCTTATAAATATGTTAGAAACAATAGCAAGAAAGAAAAACCATTTGATTCCTTATCTTGGGGTTCATTTCGCCTAATATCAACTTATCTGACCATTTCTGCTTGTCTCAGACATATACTAGTTATTGCAAATAAGGGAAACCATGGGACCTATGTTTCTTTGGGCCTGACTTACTTCACTTAATATAATTGTTTCCAAGTCTTTCCATTTCCTAACAAATGGGGCAATGTCATTCTTTCTGATAGAGGCATAGAATTCCATTGTGGCATGAATGTCTGCTCTCTACAGTTATTTTCAGGTAGTTCTTCCAAGTCCTGGATCTATCTATCTATCTATCTATCTATCTATCTATCTATCTATCTATCTATCTATCTATCTATCTATCTAATCTATCAATTTTAAATGAAGCAGAAGAGAAAGAAAGATCACTGGTCTGTAGGTTCTTGTATAGATAATTTGATCTTTTGCAATTCTAGTGAGTTCTCAATCTTGTTTCCAGAGCTGAGGTAGCTCTTGAACCTTGCATAAATTTAGATATTTTCTAATTGTCTGTCCACTTACCCTACCCTTAGCTGTTCTGTCTCAGGACCAGGAATTAAAAACATCAGGCTTTGTGGACTCTATGATCTCCCAGCTCCTCCACTCGGAACCTTGTAGCATGAAGGCAGCCATAGGTAGTTCGTGAGCAGATGGAAATGCATGTTTTCCCAGGATGCATGATTATAAAACAGGTCTTGACTGGTTTTGGTGTGAGTATCTCAGTTCCCTTGACCATTGTGTCAGATTCTCAAGGTCACTTCTTTCAATGTTGAGGCTGTAGTTCTGCCAACCTGTCTAGGTTTATGGATAATCCATTCCTTTGGAGTTCCTTTCCTTTTGTTTCTAACCCAGAAGCCTGTCTTTGTACATGCAAATGGCCCATCGGGTGTTTTCCTAATCAAAGATATTTCCCAGAGAAGAGGAACTCTGCAGCTCCTGTTGAAGATAATAAGCACACCACAGATGGTGCTTTCATTTCAAAAACAACCACAACATACAAGGAGATATGAAATTTCTTTTTTAATTGTCATTTTTTTAAGAAAACTTTTTTTTTCTGTTCTGTGATTGGATGACTTAGTTTGGCATTGGTGCAAATTAATACTCAAGCTTCTGCTGGAAGTTGATTGTTGAAGTGGTGGTGATTCTAAATATAGGCTGGCAAGAGGAGAAAAAGACACATCAGATGCCTTATCTATCTCATTGTGGCAGTTTCCAAGTATTTATATTTAAACATAAACTTAAACAAGCATTCTCCTATTATGACTGCCAGCTTGAACGCACTGCACTATTACAATTGTCGTATTACCCAGCATAAAAACTATGCATTACCCTGGGCAAGATCTTTTGCTGCAATTGCCTGATTTGACTTCCTTGTGTAACTATACTTAAACCCCCGATCCCCACTTAAGCCTTGATCCCTACTTTCTACGCCCCTTGTCCCTCTGACTCTGGAGTTACATGGGGCCCCTCCCCAGTGATGATTAAATGCGATCAGACCTGTTGAGTTGTCCCTCTCCTTTCTCTCCTTCCCTCTGCTTGATTGATCCTCACATGGGAAGGTCTCATGTGCAGCCTGTTCTATCTTTTGCCTATCCTGGAAAGTATAAGAATAAAAATATAAGAATGAGAATTGTGTGAGGCTAGGGATCTACATTTCAAAGCTGGAGGTCTTTTTATGCCTAGAGAAAGGCTGGACACTATAGATTCCTTAACTAAGCCCTGGTTAGAGACCTGGCACCTTCAGATTAGGTACTTGCAGCCCTGACTTCCACTGACTGGTCTCCTAGGCTAACTCCCATCATCCTACTCCTTGGTATTTGTGGAGAGGCAGCTACTAGTAGACACACCTTAGCCTGTCTTTCATAAAACAACTGGTAATATGCCCAAGATGCATATATTTGACCTAGAAAGTTTAGTTGGGCAGCATGGTGTGCGTTAGTCTCTCTGGGATGAGCCAGCTACGCAGCTTTCCATTTTTGTTTTCCTCACTGCTAATTGTGAATTATGACAGTTTATCAGTGTGTTCTCTGAAACATGTCTGAGACCCTGGCTTAGAGAGATTATAATTTATTCTTAAAAGAACCAATCAGAAACTATTTGGAGAAGGGGAAGTTATTAGGAGACAAAGGTATTTGATTGGGTGGGATGGTATTCAAATCTTGAAGTAGTGTCATCCAACAAATGCAAGATCTGTGCAGAGTCATGAATCTCATCATATTGACCACTCTATCAGTCTTTATCCTCTGCCATTAAACATTGTTCCCCCTCTGGGAAAATTCTAAGAGAATTATCTAAATTTATGGAGTATGCTGAATAAATTGCATTCTTCTGGGGACACCATTTGCTAAGTCACACGCATGGGAAATATAGAGAGAAATTTTCTACACGAAATTCTGGCACCTTCTTTATTATAATTAGCATAAATTCAACTCAATGATTTTTATCTTTTCAGCTCCTAAAAGGTATCTTTTTTCAGAATGTATATAAAAAATGTTTTGTAAAGAAAAAGAAATTATTTGCTATAATAGTAAAATCCATTAACGTAAAATTAAAACCTGATGTATATTTTTGAGACAGTGATATTTTTAACAAGGTCAATGACAAAAATAATTCTCTATTTTTTACATCTGGGTTGCATGGATATGTGGAATAACTTTGTTACGCCTATGGAGAAACAGCTCCCTAAACTAGCTAAGTGCTTTCATGGCCTGTAAGTAGAACACCTGAATTTAAATTTTACTTAATTAAGAGGTTTCAGAGATGCATGCAGGGGGCTGGGCATGGTCCCAGGTACCAGAGAGGCTGATGGAGAAGGTCTGTAATGTGAGACCAACTGGGGCAAAAATTTGAAACCCTATCTGAGAAAAAAAAATCCTAAGGAAGAAATATATGGCTCAATGATAGAGTGCTTTCTTAACATATGACCCTGAATTCATACCCCAGTTCTACCAAAAAAAAAAAAAACACACAAAGGTATATGGACATTTATGCATCTTGATAAATACACCTGTCATCACATTCACCATGAATCATTTTAAAATGAGAATTTTTTACAAGTACATAAAATCATCAGTGAATATTTCCAAAATTAATGATAATCCTACCTGGTAAGCTGTGTGCTGCTCACTAGTCCGTGCAAACCCTAGCGGTCACCCCATTGTATTTAACGCGCTAGACTCTTCCCAGAAGTGCTTGGTGATGTTCCGTGATGGAAACTTTTGCTGTTCATCTTTGAGAGCTCCAGTGCCTCTCCAAACCATGGAACTAAACAATTGTTTTCAGTTCACATTGCTACGACCAGCAATGGCTCCAGTGGGTAACTTTCACACCACCTGATTATCACTGGTATAATTTGAGGTTTTGCTTTGTTTCTTTTTAGGGGAAAAAAATGTATCACCCTATAGCATTGGTGATTTAACTAACTAATGATAGGTAACAGAAGATCACATGATTATTTCTATTGAAATAGGTAAAACAGATGATAAAATATTCATTTTATTTGTGCTTTTTTTATTGTGCCCATATGATGTTACTTCAATGCTATGATGATGTTGCTCTGTGGAATTGCACTCTTAAGTACTAAGATTGCTCTCAGACTCGAAGGTTCTTAATGAAAAGCTATGTAGGCCTTTATGCGTGCATTGTGTGCATTCCAATAGTAGTGGATTCTTCTTAATCCATTTGGTGTTGAAAAGAACATGTGTACAAGTATTGTGTCTTAGAACAGAGGTAGTTTGTTGTCTTCTTATACATGCAGAAGACTTGCAAGATTGAGAAGACTTTCTGGAGGGCTAACCAGAAACACAATGAAGATTCCCTTCCTTCTTATAACTTTCTTCTTCTTTTTCTCTCAACAGGAACTTTTTACCCCTGAATGCAAGTTTAAAGAATCCGTTTTTGAAAACTATTATGTAATCTATTCATCCATGCTATACAGACAACAGGAATCTGGTAGAGCCTGGTTTTTGGGATTAAATAAAGAAGGGCAGGCTATGAAAGGCAACCGAGTAAAGAAAACCAAACCAGCAGCTCATTTTCTACCCAAGCCATTGGAAGGTGAGCAGAGCAGATGCATTGTATTTTGTCCTTATAAGCTTTGTTTAGTGTTTGGTTCACCACATTGGCATGTCTGCCCTAGCTACAAGAAAACTTCCATAGAGCACTAGAAATATCCTTTCTCTTGCACATGTGTTTCCTTAAGTTGTTTAAGCTTAGCATGTATAGGATTTTAAATCCTTAGCATAAAAGAAGAACAGATCTGTGGTCTTTATACACTTCACTGTCCATCTCCCTTTTCCTCCCCAACTTGTGTGTGTGTGTGTGTGTGTGTGTGTGTGTGTGTTTGTGTGTGTCTGCCACATGACAGGCCCCGATAATTCTCATTTAAACCTTCTCTGCTAGACAAAAATTGCGGTACACCTGGGCACAGATTTTAGTTACAAGAACCAGAGGAAGGGATATCCCCTGAGAACTGGAAACTACCACCTTAAAACTAGAGTTTCCTATGGATGGGAATGCGATGTGAGCAAACACAGATTGGAGAGAATCCTGGAAGTCTGTGCATATAGGAAAATCCATCATTCTTGCATGTAACCAGGCAATGTTTCCTTTTCCTTTCTCCCCATCCCTAGTCGCCATGTACCGAGAACCATCTTTGCACGATGTTGGAGAAACGGTCCCGAAGGCTGGGGTGACGCCGAGTAAAAGCACAAGTGCGTCTGCAATAATGAATGGAGGCAAGCCAGTCAACAAGAGCAAGACCACATAGCCAGATCCTCGCAGGCGTTGTGACTTACTTGTCCTGAGCACCGCTGAGCGATTTATCTCCTTCCCAGACATTCCTACTCCTGTGGCTGCCAAGCGGCGGGAGCAAGCTGATGCTGGCTTTGTGCTGTCTTGAAACTTCTTTGTACTGCAGTGGATAGATCTGAACCTGTGGGTCCCCCCCACGACAAGAAGACACGTGGACAACCAGCTAACTCAGACCATGGAATGCCCTACCAGATATGGAATGCCTTTTTACTCTCTTTTCTGTGACTGTGACACTTTCTGTGAATGACGTCCTTCACAAGTACACTCTATACCTTTGCCTGCTGACAGCTACCCATAACCCTTTTTGAGTCCCGTTTCAGCGAAATCCATGTGTTTCAGTTCGATTTTGTAGCCCACAGATAATATCGAGTAATTTCTAGTTAGACGCTGTAAACCTGTGCTATCCTGGAGTTCTCTTCTCCTTTTTACAAGGCTGCTCGCTCCACTGTTCTGTGACCTTTTGGCAGGGATTGTGACCCTCGGAATCTCAAATGTTTCAGTTGGCATAGACTGGAGAGCAAATCAGGGAATGGGGAAGCCTTCTAAACCTATTACGACAAATCGCATCTATAAAGATTTAAGATCGTTGTCTCCGGCTCACATTATTGATTAAACACACATATATACTGTATCCAGTAGCAGATACTGTGCTCCCAAGATGGCCATTGCCCGGGTGGGACAAGGGTCAAACACAATCATGGAAAGCTTTCTACGATCAGTGTTTGGCATCCTCTCTAGTTTCTTTGTGTGCGTGTGTGTTTTATACATATCACAAGCTTACTGGTAATGGTAACATTTGCCTTGCCCAGCGAGCAAGACCCACTGGTTTTTGAGAAAGTGGGTCCAAAGATTTCTGTAGGCCTTGTGGGCCTGATTAAGGTTCATCTTTTTTTTTTTTTTTCATCTATGAATCCTCATTATTGGGAAAAATAAAATTAAAAAGAAAAGGGAAACTCAGTCATTACAACCAACAAGAAATGCGCTACCTAAATCCATTTCCAACAGAGTCCTTCCTATTTTTAACGGGCGGAACTTGATGTCCTCCATGTTTCTGGGCTGTGTTTCCCTCATACTTAGCCAAGCATGGGCAAAGGCGGCTGTTGTGTTCTTTTCCTGCAGCAGCAATGCAAACATTAGTTATCCATTAGACTTTAATATTTTTGGTGTTTAATGAGAAGTTTTTAAACTGGACGTATTAGGAAAAAAATATATTATTTTTAGCTCAGCATGCTGAGTGTGGTACTGTGGATCTTACCAGTACAGTACAGACCCCTAACTCGACTTTTGGGGGCGCCATGTTGCCGAAAGGCTAGGTTAGAGGTGCCTTGCCATCATCTCAGAATACCGTCTGTTGAATATCCTAGATTAAAGAAAATAAAATCAAGGCAGACCAACACGCTCAAAACAATAGGTTTTGGCGCCATCCAATTTTATTTGTTTTAGTTTGCTTTTAATTTCCTTTGGGACTGAATCTGGCTAAACTGGGAGCTTAGGGAAGACAACTATTTTTCTTTTTCTTTTTTTTTTTTTAAAAAAAAACAGGCCACAAATAGTTGACAACACAGTGAAGATTTCATGCAAAATGTTCACTATTGGATATAAAGAGCTTCAAAATGTTTAATACTAAGCTGTTTGGAAATATATTTGTTAACTCTGTGTACACTTAATAAATTTCAATGTTTTCTTCTCAGAAGAGTGATTTGAGACCAAACTGCACCTCATTTAGAGAACACAGCTGATGTGTGATCGATGTACTGGCCTCTTGCTGTTACTGCGGTGTGGAAGGATGACCAGTTGCCATTTGCCCCATCTGCACTGTATTTACTGGGAAATTATTATTTTGTCACTGCTTTCATAAATCTCCGTGACAGCCCTTGCCCAGCATTTAAAATTTTTGGCCTTGCTTAGCTGATTAAAGATTCATTATAAATTTAACTGTTTATGCTCATTTCATTTCCATATTGGATTCCATTTTAATAAATAAAAAGTTAGCATAATATTCGAGTAGACTTACTTACAGATACAATGTCATGGTTCCTTTGGCCATTCTTGATTTGATGGTCTGCCGTCCCAGAGTCTGTCCTTCATTTTTAGCAAGGAGAAAAGACAGAGAAACCGCACCAACCAATAATTTTTAGGGACAGTGTATATCCCATAATATGTGGTAAATCATTAATTGATTTGTATCAATGGGCTTATGCACACTGCTTACACTGCTACATATACACAAGCCCCACACAAGCCAACCTATTCATTTTTGATAATCAGCTCAGTTTGAGGCTTCTTTCTCTCCTGTAAGACTGCTTATTGGTTGAAATTGGGATTTATTTTTGTAAATGACAGTGATTTATGTAAATGTACGCCTCTTTTTGGTCTGTTAAGAGTTGTCTACAAGGGCATTTATTATTATTAGTGGATGTCAAACTACTTTCTTCAAATAAGTGTTTTCGTCGTGTTGCAGAGGGGTCCTTGTTGTTTGTGATTTAGTTAGGCCATTTACCCGTATTGGGTCTCGCCTGTTGCATGGAAAGAGGACAGCGCTCATGAATTGCATGTAGTAGGACCTGTGTATCAAGAGCTGTTGGTATGTATTACTCGATTTACATACGAAGAGTTGTCTGCATTTGCAGTTCTGTATTTATTATCATTTGTTGTGTTTGCAAATACAACACATGGGATCAAATATTTATACGATGGCATATAAAAAAAATCAAACCATTTTATGTAGCTAAATGGCATTGTGTCACCACTCCATATAGAGATATGTCATGTAAATAAGTTGGTAAACTCAATCTCCCCCTTTCTCATGCCAAAGAAAATTTTAGCTCTTTCTGATACCTCTCTTGCTATTTTTCCAGGATAAGACTTCATTATTTTTTCCCCTCAAAACTTAAGTTTGCTATTACCAAGTACAACTTGTCACTCTCAATGTTCTGTATAGTAAATCTGATGGAATTCATTTGTATTCATAGCCTGTGTGTTTTGTACCTCCATGTGCATATGTCTATTGTATTGACTTTCTGTAAGATTCTATTCTTTCTGCATGCATACCTGGTGTGGGAGGGCTATTTCTACCAATTTGTTGTGATAGACGATTGCTTTACCATCCCTCAACAACACTCAAAAATCTTAACTCTTCTGATTTCAAATGACATCATGTTTGTTTTCTAATGTGTTCTTTCCAAAGTTTACTACCATTGTATTTAAAATGTATATATATATCATTACAGAAGACATGCAAATGTCTATCCCCTGAAAAGAGCCAAGTGGAGGGGAGCATTATTTTGTCATGAAATCTAAAGAATGTAGGGACTTTTGCTCTGTGTGTTGAACGTTCTGAGTGTTTGGAGGAAGGGTGGCTAAGGAAATCTACAATGGCCAAGTCTTCTATCCTCTCAGAGGTTTTTTTTTTTTTTTTTATCATGCTTGACCTCTTGCTTAATTCTTGCTGATATTTTTTTGATTCCCTTTAACATGATGATAAAAATTTCCTTGTCCTTTAAGTTAGACATATATCACCATTTCAATTTCTCCTCAGTATTACAGAGAAAAAGTTAATGTTTGCTACCTCCCCAAGAAAGAGAGCCAGGTTGATAAAAGATTCAGTTCGTAAAGCAGTGAAAATAATTTGAACATACTTTCAGTTTTCCTCTAGGAAAAGGCAATATCCAGGGAAAACAATTAGCTAAATGCTCAGTTATTTTCCAAAAAGCAAACCCAATGACATCCAGAATATAAATTGTATTACTTTGGAGTAAAATGCAGCTAAGGTTTCTTAGTGTAGAAGGCGATGTAGAGGGCTGGGTGACTGATATACCAACAGGGTTTTGGAGTTGTACTAGACTAAGGCTGAGTTGCATCTTGGGTGGTTTTTGTTCTAGATTCATTCAGTCTAATTCTGAAATCTCCTGGCAGGGGTTGTGTTTGCATTTGAGCAGGTAGAAGAGGTTCCTTCCAAGGTACTGTTGGGAGCCTGGTAGCCTCAGGAACCTGGAAGGGCAGGTATAACACTTGTTTTTTTGTGTGTCTAAGGACTTCGGTTGCTGTTTGTAAGTCCAGTGGAGGAATTCCTTGGCTATGGGCGATGGTTAGCCTAACAGATGGGACAAGACCACGCCAGCACTGTACTTGACTTCAATGCACATTGCTCATTGAACCCATTGTGAGTTGTGACAAATATGTCCAAGTTGATGAGTTTTGCTTTTGTTACTGCCCTGCCTTTTTATAGATGACGTTTCCTTCCTATTCCAGTCATGGAACAAATGTCAAAATACAAAATCACATCCAAGGAAGTTACATCTTTACATGCAATGGGTTGTTTTTTCTAGTGCCAAATATGGAAATTCAATCACTTCTTTATAGATAGCACTGGTGTTGGCATTACTAGAACCCCAAACACATATGAACTGTTAGACAAAAAAAATGAAATGAAATGTTTCTGCTTTCATAGCAAAAGCATGTGTTAGAACTTACATATAATGTAATTCAAGTTTTCTTTCTATCATTTGTAACTCAATGATTCCCCAGAGCATGGCTAAGCTGAACGTATTTCCATCCAACAATTAAGACAAATCACATTTTGAACTTTATGGAATAATATTTTCTCCAGCACCTTCCTTTGTAGACCACAAATAGTTTTGGTAGTTTCCTTAGTATAGAAAGAATTATAACAAAATTAAGACCCAACTGAAGTTATATAAGTGGCCACTGGGAACTTAGTATAATCCCAGTGGTGCAGAGTCTGGGAATTATCTGCCCAGATGTGAGTTAAAGCCACTCCCAAACTCTTTTTACAAGGCCTGGGTGCTCAGAATTAATTTTCAGTTTTTGCAGTTTTAAATTGTTGAAAATAAACAAGAATGGTACGCTACTGATATATATATATATATATGTATATATATACATATATATACATATATATATATATAACTCACAAAGCCTACACTATGTCCTGTCTAGTCCTTTATAGAGAGCTGAGCCCCAAAAGAGAGAATTCTGAAGATACATTGCATGGCAAGTGGTAATGGTATAAATTACAGTATTTGTGTGCACCATCACATAGACCATTGATATAACCATTGATTAATTATAATGGCTTTATTTGAGGCTTCAATTGCTTTTCTAGGAAAAAGGAAAAAAAATACTTGTACTATTTTTGACTACTTATAGTCAACGTTGGAGAACTTATCAGTTCTCCAAAACTGATAAATCAATTACCATGCCCGATAAGAGAAATACAACAAATATGGTTGTATAACCTAATCTCAGGAGAGAGATAATAATTTTATAAACCTGTTTAATGATGAGAATATTATGAATTCTATAAAGTCAGTGTCGATTTTCTCTTTAAATAATATTTAATATTAAATTTTTAAGTGATAGTGTGAATGTCTATTTTTCTTCTTTTTGGTGATTTGGCTAAAAATGTCCAAGCCATGATGCTAATCTATTTACATCATTAACATAAAATTTCCAAATAAAATATTTCATCTTAACATATTACAGAAATGATTTTGTTACACTAATTCAGGATTTTACTAGATAATTCATAGAGGGGAAAATGCTTGTGTTTTGTTTGTTTGGTTTTGTTTTTAGCTCTAAGTAATTAAAGGTTTTCTAAACCAATATGTGTAAGTAGTTCAAGTTGTGTATACATATGTGGGAAGAACCAAATATTGTGCATTTTCATAATTCATGTGAATTTCAAACAGAGCAAAAT